GTGTTTTTGCATTCCTGCAATGTTCAATATGCTGTTCTGCAGTGCTTTTGTTGTTAAAGGGTGAAATCATAGAGAATAAATTCACACAGTGAATGACATGAACAGCTGGATAGCGTTGGAGCCGCAGAAAAGCGGAGGAGTACCAGACAATAATGTCAAAGCTCTTTGTTGCATGGCAGGGACTGGAGGACGTGATACAAATTGCTCTCATAATTGTTGCCATCCAGACAGTTGGAAAGTCACCTTGTTTTTCTTTTTTTTTTTAACCGTACCCTGTAATTATCAGGAAATAATAACAGGGCCATCAGTGTCAAGGCTGTCTTCCTGAATAATTGCAACTGTGCGAGGGCAACAAATCGGACTTTATTTGGCTCTGTATGCATGAATAAAGAACTGAGGAGTTTTTCTGTATTTACTGCAGGCTGTTCTAAGCATTCCTACTCTCTAAACTTTATACATCATTCATCCTCAACCCAGATCTCCTTGGGAGGAAGCAATCCAAGACAGGCTGGCCTATTTTGATGTATGTTTGATGGAAAAGGCACTTGCACTATGAATTGTTGATGCTAAAAATGAAGGAGTGATTTTATTTGCACCACAACTGGTGCTTACAAGTTCATTAGTCATTAAATAGATCATGTAGCTGATATATAATATATTTGGGATTAGGTATATTTTCCTGTTTTGTGACTTTTCATTACTCTGTTCGTCCTTTTACATTATTTCCATCCATTTTGTAATTTTATACATTTAAATTTAAATTTATTTATATATAAATAAATAATAAATTGTTGTTAAAGGGTGAAATCATAGAGAATAAATTCACACAGTGAATGACATGAACAGCTGGATAGACAATGATTACATAAACAAAAGCAAATTAGCATGAATTCCTTGAGCTGAAATTCAGAGCGGGAAGCACACACTGTTCTTGCTGTTTCATAAATATTGAAAACACCATGAAATATTTAAATGCGGAACCACATACGTGCACGCACACACAAAAAAATAAATATCTGGAATCTGGAATCCATGTAAAGAACAACTGAAAAGGCATCCAGTCGAAAGAAAGTGTGCCCCACCAGCTCTGTGAAGATGCAACTTCTCTTCATATGCAAATAAATCTCTCAGAGTAAAATGATCAAAGTTATCTTCAGCAAAGAAAGCTGTTTGTCTGTAAGTCATGGCTCCAATTTGATTTTAACAACTTGGTGCTCTATCAGAATAAATTACACTTTCTGAGAGACTGAATAAAGCAACCACAATACTCCACTGATCTGTTTCAAGTCTGTCATTGTGCCTAAAACAAAGCAGTTTTAATCTTATTTGACTCACTAAACAATTTTGTATTTTTATTTTAGTTTTTTAGTAAAATTCTAATGGCACTATAAACACCAATATATCAAAACACTTCAATCTTCAGTCTAAAAATATTAATTAAATACCCATATGAAAACATTTTTCATAATATCAATATCATTTCAATAATTCCACCTTGATGCAAATGACGATTAGTATGATTATCCAAATTATCATCTTGATCCAAATGTCACATGAAGATTAGTAGATGGCATATGATATTATTTATCTAAATCAAGAAGCAATCAAATTCTGGCATTAGATGAAGTGCAATCTGAAGTGGTTTCTGGGAATTTCACATGACCGAATATTTTGTAGAAAAGCACTTACACAAAAAAGCCCTTTAATGTCTATCATTCATATCACTAGTCAGCGGCCTAGCACTTAAATCCAGCATTAAATCTCTAACAAACATAGCAACATACTAATATTATGAAAAAATAATTTGTATTTAATTTAATTTGTCACGCCTTGTTTTTCCACATTCTGTTTATGTAACTGTTAAGACATAATACATTGGATGATACCAAAGAACTATAAATATAATTAATTCACAAAAAAAATCATACATTCAAAAAATAAATAATACATAAAACTACACATTGGAGCAAGAAAACTGAGAAAATGCTGTAATATAAAGCACAATGCAATTCACGATTCAGGCTCCATGTTCTCTCTTAGGTTTTATGGTTTGTGCATCATAGGATAAATCAATGTGAAGAGTAGGCCTATAGAGGGTGAAAAGATCAGGCTCTCATTAAAACTAGGACGATGTCTCTAGCTGTACATCCAACTAAGGAGCAAATTTAATTAGTGGACTGTGAAGTGAAGTCATACCGCAACTCTCTCGCTAGATTCATTATACACAACGCAATGCATTCTGTGGCCTAGTTCTGCCTCAAGGCATAGCCTTTACTTAAGGTAAATTAGTGGATGTTGTTTGTTTGTTCCTCTTTAATCTTAAAAAGGGTTTTCGGAAAATATTTTCCAGTGCTATGAAACTGTAATGTGGTGGGATTTTGGTTACGACACTGATTCGAAATGGAGGAGAGCTGAAAATGAGAACAGGAGCTGGAGAGAGAGAAAGCAATTAATAATCTCTTCAGGAGACTGTGACTGCATGACTGCACATGCAAACTAATGCATTTCTTCTTCCCTTTTTTTAATTTTGAAAAATCAGTTCAGGTTATGCACACTATGTCAGCATTCCAGCTGCAGTGTCTGCATTTTATGCTTTGTTTTGTCTTTAATATGACATAGAATGGACAGTAGTTTTTCTGTTTCTCATTGATTTTTATCCCTGAGGAAATTCAACTGTTGGATTTTGTAGTGTAAATTTTAAAGCCGGTGTTGAGTGCTACAGTATTTTTGTTGCTGCTAAAATTGTTGATATCCCATCAACACATATGAAAACCCATCATTTATTCTGGCAAGATGCTGCAATCTGTTGCTTTATGACAAAATCACAAGACACCCTGTGGTGCTGTTATAATGACAGTCATTATGTCTCTGGCTCTGTCCATTACAGTAAGAGGATTTTGCTGGCAATCGACAGACGGGCCACTAAACTGTAACTAGGTCCAAATGCACATTTTCTGCCATCAAAAGATGGAGGATCACTGTTGAGATGCTTTCCTGCATTATGGGTTGTACATTAAAGGAACAGCTCACCCAAAAATGAAAATTTGCTGAAAATGTGCTTACAAATTTATATTGTGATGTTTTTATCAGCTGTTTGAACTCTCATTCTATCTGCACCCATTGATTGCAGAAGATCCGTTGGTGCAAGCAGCATCTTGGATGTCCCGTGAGTGAGTAATTTCCAACAAAATTTATTTTTTGGGGCAAACTTTTCCTTTAACACCACTAGCTGTAGAATATTATGCTGTGCCAAATTTTGCTCACATAATGTAAAGTATAGGCCTACCACAAAGTGGCACTGATGTGAGTCACATTAGTGCCACTTTGTGGTAGGCCTATACTTTATTTATTACAGGTGTATCACAATGCGATTTTTATTTGTGAAGAACAAAACTAGAAAATTATTAAAAACAATAAGTACAATATTTTTGTGTCAATGTAGCGTCTGATACCGGACAGTGATACAAATTCAGTTTATAGCCTAGCCTACGTTTAGCGAACTTTGACTAATAACTTGTGGTAATTAATAAAACGTTTGAAAACGCTGATTTTTGTCTACACTAGCCATAGTTTAAACATAGTATTTGGAATAAAACTGTGGTTCTACAAATGGCAATCAACACGCCAAAATAAATAAATGGTTATTATACTATACACAATAATAAAACCATTGTTAATTTTCGTAAGGGTGTATGACTTTCGTTTTTCTGCTGAACATAAACTTTTGAGAATATTTTCATAATATTTTGAGAAATGTCTTAATTTTTTGTCAATAATGGAAGTCAAAAGGTAACCAAAAATGTATCTCATACATCCGACAGTGGATAGCCAGTACTATTGTAGAGAGAAATACTGCCATCTTTTGGTGTTGAGATTAATTGTGGCTTTATGCATTTCAGTATTTTAAACACCTTTATGTGACATTTCTGCTAAGCAGTGATCCAGAAACAGAAACTAAACAAAAATGACACATGTTCCTCTGTTGCAGTTTTGTTTATTTGATTTATTTGCAACTATAAATTGATTATTTAGAAAAAAGTAGGATACCCAGCAAGGACATGTCTTGGCACATTTTTTGTTGGATTTCTAATACAATTTCTGTGGCATACTGAACAAAACCATATCTCATCTTTTAGGAAGTTAAAAAAATTCAAAATACTGAGCACATCTAGTAAAAAAAATATGCTTTAGTAAACCTGAACCTATTTACATCCTCTGGATGAATGGCTCTATGTCAGTCTATGCCATGTTAAGTGAAAACCCTCTTATACATAAAAATATTGTTTTTTTACGTAAGAAATATTAGAAGCCTGTTTCATTCATAATGCCTAGCAATATGTGGAATAAATAAACAGGATGTGAACAATTATTGCACTTTTGCAAAATGAACAATATACTAAATTCTCATCATCACACAAACATCAAACATTATGCACAAATCTAAAATATAATTTGTTTTATATTATAGTATAACAAATATATTAGTTGAGTTAATTTGCTGGAGGTCAAAATAAGATTGGTCCAATCTGGAAAGATATTAAACCTCATCGTATTGGAGACCCTAATTCACACTTATGAAAAGCAGAAGGACTGCTGTATAATTGTAAATAATTGATTTGAGTTTGTATTCTTTTTGTTAATTAATCTTGCCACTCCTTGGTAAAGCTACAGTTCAAGTATTGATAAACATATATCATATTCTGACACCATAATAATTTCTGAAATCATTATACCTGATATAACATCAGGAGACATATTATATCAGAACTCATCATGTGTTGACTGGACACTAGCAAAAACTGTTAAAAGTTCTAGTCTAAAAAACAATATATTTAAGTTGAATTGTGTGAATTGTTATCATTCAAATGACCTAACAGTACACTAATGTACAATAATCTTATTCATATGCATTTAAACATGCTGAAATTGTGATTATTATTTTTAGATACTATTCTCTATTTCAGAATGTGAAAACAAACATTTTAAAAAAATAGTTGATGTGAGCAAAAATGCAGAACTTTCTGTGCTACTGTTTGTTTGCTGAAGACAGTGGGAATGTTCAGAATGGAATACTAAAATACTGCATACTGCATGCTACACCATACTGTATACTACATATTATTGTTACAATATAGTATGTAAAAAATAATAGCACAGTATGTAATAGGTAATGTATCTAAAAATAGTCTGCAGTATGCAAAAAAAAAAGGTTTAAACTGTAGTATGGTACACTGTTATCACAACGTTGCATATTTTACATTAGAGAGAGGTGTCTGGTTACGATTTCAGAAATAAATATAGCAATTTTGCAATGTTTATTACAATTTTGTACACAAATATTCACACTTTTGTCAGTCCAGTTAAATAATGAGTAATTATTGAGAAGCAGTGTACTGGTCAAATATTGCACAGTTTGGCAAATGTAGTAAGTCATAAGAGTATTCAATGCAATCAGAAAATCTGCATACTAGCGTTGTCAAAAATATCAATTTTTTTTTATACATATCGATACTGAAATATCTGAAACAGTTCTGATCATAGACGGTTTCAAAACTCTTTCTCCGTAGTACTGATACACCGATACCAACTCTAAACTTGCTTCATAACATCAGTCGAGTGTTTGAAATAACATCCTTTTGTGATCTGATTTGGCTTCGAACGAGGCAGAAAATATATTATTTTACAGTATTCTATATTGTATTAAATGCCATGTTGCATTACATGTGTTTATAGTGCTCATTATGCTAGATAATGGTCACACCCCCCTATTCTTTGTAATAAAATAGCAAAATTAATACTTCTTTTAAAAAACATTTGAAGTAAACATGCAAATCCATAAGCTTTTCTCCAGTGTACAATGTAAGTTTTTCTTCAGTGTTTTACCACCTCAAGAAGTTTTCATTATTGTAAAAATATTCCTCATTGTCAAGTTCTAGCCTTGTCATATTTATCATTTAATAGAAATCAAAAATGTTATGCCCTTAATGTTGTTCCCGTTTTTCCCTGTGGTATCGAAAATGGTATTGAATATCGTATCAAGGATAGAAATTCCAGTATCGTGACAACACTAGTGCAGCATTCCTAGTAGGAGTAATATGATAGTTTGCCATTGTGAACATACCCACTGTGCTATAGCCGAGGACACTCAATTGGTTAGTCTACAGCATTACTGTATAAATGTGGCACTGAGCTCAGAGCTGGGAATCTGCCCCCAATGTGTTCAGATCATCTCGGGTATATTTCTCTGACCCTGAGCGGAAGCCCGCAGAGATCTCTTCAAATGTCCGCCCTTTGGTCTCAGGAACTTTGAAGTAGGTGAAGACAAAGAATATCAGCAGGAGGACAGTGAAGATGATGAAAACGTATGGCCCTGTCAGTTCCTATCAACAGAAAAAACTGTGAGTATTTAAAGAAATGTGAGAATAACGAGAAAATAAAGACTATATCTGTGTTATGTCTGTGTTATGTAATGTTTCCATACCTCAACATATTGGAAGCTCATTCCCACCAAGAAGTTGGCAAACCAGTTGGAGAAACCAGCAACAGCGATGGCAGAAGGCCGGGGACCTTGACTGAAGAGTTCTGCCACAATGAACCATGGGATTGGGCCTGGTCCGATCTCGAAAAATGCCACAAAACTGAAGATGGCGACGATGCTGACATATGACATCCATTTCACTTGATCCTGCAAAGGACAATTAGTGAATAAACACCATTAAACACCAGTTTACACATGAACACTAACAGAAATATAGTACATCAATGTAAGCAGATACATACTAGTAGCGCCATAGCTATGGTCATGAGAACAGAAGACACAGCCATTCCCATCAGCCCAATAAGATGTAATGATCTTCGACCAGCTCGCTCCACTATGAACAGCTAAATTAGAGAGAGATACAAGCATTTTCATCCAAAACACTGTCAAGCACCTCAACAAAGGACAAAATCACAAAAAATATGTTCGTACTAACTTACCGACACAACTGTGAATGCTGTGTTCACAACTCCAGCACCAATGGTGGCATAGACTGGCTCAGACACCCCTGCTTTCTCAAATATACCAGTGGAGTAATAAAAAACCTGAAAAACACAATGCACTTAACATTCAAATCACTGACATGACAGCTATAGCTGAACATTAATAGGTGCACCAATGGCCAACTAACTAGCTTTGTGATACATTTATTTATATTAACCAGGACAAATTAGTTGTAGATAAACAAATAAACATATCATTAAAAAGTTTATGAAATTGTCCATCAATTTACTCTTGCTGTTACAGCCATATGACACATGCTTTATCCAGTTTTTGAAGATCACACAAACGCTTTCTCATTTACACTCACCAATGTGAAAAAATTAAATAAAAAAGCGAAATCAAACCATAAAGCATCATTTAAAACAAAACTTTATTATTAGTAATATTAGTAGCAGTAGTGGTAGTTTTAATTATGAACATTGCCTGTCAAAAGTCTGGAATAATTATGATTTTTAATGATTTTGAAAGAAGCCTCTTATGCTCACCAAGGCTATATTTATTTGATAAAAAATTCAGTAAAACAGTAATATTGTGACATATTTTTACAATTTAAAATAACAATTTTCAATTAAAATATACTGTATATTAAAATGACATTTATTACTGTGATGGCAAAGCTGAATTTTCAGCAGCCATTACTTCAGTCTTCAGTTCATCCTTCAGAAATTATTCTAATAGCACGTTCAAAAAATGTAAAAAAAAATCTTAATTATTCCAAATTTTTTACCGGTAGTGGGTGTGTGTGTGTATATATATATATATATATATATATATATATATAATATAGTACATCAATGTAAGCAGATACATACTAGTAGCGCCATAGCTATGGTCATGAGAACAGAAGACACAGCCATTCCCATCAGCCCAATAAGATGTAATGATCTTCGACCAGCTCGCTCCACTATGAACAGCTAAATTAGAGAGAGATACAAGCATTTTCATCCAAAACACTGTCAAGCACCTCAACAAAGGACAAAATCACAAAAAATATGTTCGTACTAACTTACCGACACAACTGTGAATGCTGTGTTCACAACTCCAGCACCAATGGTGGCATAGACTGGCTCAGACACCCCTGCTTTCTCAAATATACCAGTGGAGTAATAAAAAACCTGAAAAACACAATGCACTTAACATTCAAATCACTGACATGACAGCTATAGCTGAACATTAATAGGTGCACCAATGGCCAACTAACTAGCTTTGTGATACATTTATTTATATTAACCAGGACAAATTAGTTGTAGATAAACAAATAAACATATCATTAAAAAGTTTATGAAATTGTCCATCAATTTACTCTTGCTGTTACAGCCATATGACACATGCTTTATCCAGTTTTTGAAGATCACACAAACGCTTTCTCATTTACACTCACCAATGTGAAAAAATTAAATAAAAAAGCGAAATCAAACCATAAAGCATCATTTAAAACAAAACTTTATTATTAGTAATATTAGTAGCAGTAGTGGTAGTTTTAATTATGAACATTGCCTGTCAAAAGTCTGGAATAATTATGATTTTTAATGATTTTGAAAGAAGCCTCTTATGCTCACCAAGGCTATATTTATTTGATAAAAAATTCAGTAAAACAGTAATATTGTGACATATTTTTACAATTTAAAATAACAATTTTCAATTAAAATATACTGTATATTAAAATGACATTTATTACTGTGATGGCAAAGCTGAATTTTCAGCAGCCATTACTTCAGTCTTCAGTTCATCCTTCAGAAATTATTCTAATAGCACGTTCAAAAAATGTAAAAAAAAATCTTAATTATTCCAAATTTTTTACCGGTAGTGGGTGTGTGT